AGAGAGAGAGAGAGAGAGAGAGAGAGAGAGAGAGAGAGAGAGAGAGACGAATTAGTGTCCTTGCGTAGGATACCGGCACGCTAAGCAAGCGGTGCTCACGAGGAGGGACGAGGAGGACGAGGGAGGACGGGAATTCGCACAAAGCGAAGGGAGGCGGGGTGAAGAGGGGGTGGTAGGGCGCGGAATAATGCTTAACAAGCCGACTTGAAAGGACGGCCGCCATTTTGAGTCAATACTTGAAAGTCTTTGCTCATTAAGAATATTTTACGTCTCCCTCTTCCAACGGAATCACCACCCTCCCGTGGATCACCCACCCCATTCACTCTCCTCCATCTCCTCGTTCCACCTTTCTTCTTTCCATTTTTTTCATCTCCTATCCCTCTCTCCTTCTGTTCCGGGGAGAGGTCCATCCCCCGTGACGGGGTGGGAAGCGGGTGGTTGCACCCTCGAAGATGGAAGTTATTTACGCGGCACTCGGAGGCACCCTCCACCATCCTAACCATCCCCTTTCTCCTCGTTTCTACGCCGGCCTCCCTCTTTCGTTCGGTAAGACGCAACCTACGCTGGCCCCACCACCACTTCAGCCCGTTTCACCTCACCCCCTTCTCTCACCCTCTAGTCGCAAGCTCCACCATAGACTCAACCGATGGCCAGCGTAACCCCCCTCGGAGAGCATGGGCTAAGGGAATTCCGACTTCGCCGCTGGGCCCACCTCCGTTCGACCGCCCTTCGCGACCCTTCCAACCCTCCGAGCCCACCATCCGCGTCCAACTTCCCTCCGCGTAATCATCGTCCCATTTCGCGGCGTTTTTCCTAATTCCTACCCAATTTCGCTTTTAGCATTTCAATTTATGCCCGCGGACCGATTTGTTAGACGTGCCCCCCACCCTCCTGGATCGCAGGATTAAGAAACGGTAGCGGGATGGAAAATTTCGATGAAATGTATTCTTTTATTTTATTTTTTTTTTGTCATATTTTTTTATTTTTTTTATTTTTAGAGGATGACGAGAAAGAGGAGAGAGAAGTTAGAAATGGTAAATTTTTAAGATTAGAAATATTTTGATAGGGATAGGATTTCATTTTGATTTGAATTTGATTTCAATTGATTCGAATTAGAATACAATGATTGATCGATATATTTGTTTCTTTTTATTTTTAAATTATTTTTTCGAATTATCTTTTATCGGATATACGTCACCTTTGACGTGACAATGCAATTTTACTGTAAAAGTCATATGTCAGGGTGTGAAAGTGACGAGATCCAATAAAACTGCAATGCAGGGACAAATTATAAGTAGAAATTGTTATGTTCGATAAAAATTAAATGTGTCAAATTTTAAATTTCACATGATCTAAAATTTATAAAGTATCAAATTTTGTTGGTAAAAATTTATAATAAACTATTATAATTTAGTATTGTATATATTGTCTTTCTATGATCATGGAATAGATAAAATCTTTATTAAATAAGTGAAAAATAAATATATTTCTAATAATCAATATAAATAATAAATATATTTAAAATTATATTATAAAATATAGATAGATATTTATTTATTCTATGCCATAGAAAAACACATATACTACAGTACTATTTTGTATATTTTTTCGGTCTTTTAATTTAGCAATTTATGGCGTCACATGCCATCTCGTGTTGGAATGGC